TTCCAGCTCCACAGATTGCTCCGCGTACTAAAGTTGTACTACAAAGTCGCCAGTTCTCATCTTCCAGCTCCACAGATTGCTCCGCGTACTTAAAGTTGTACTACAAAGTCGCCAGTTCTCATCTTCCAGCTAAGCAGATTCTCGGGGTAATAAAGTTGTACTACAACGTCGCCAGTTCTCAGCTTCCAGCTACACAGATGCTGCGTGCCTGGCACGAAATCTGCACATGGAGGTTCACAAAGTGCTGTGCCTGCCACGAAATCTGCGCCGGTGCCCAGCCAACGCCAGACGACGCCAGGGCGGACATCCGACCCTTGGGCAAGCAGCAAAGTGCTGCGCCTGCCACGAAATCTGCGCGGTGCCCAGCCGACGCCAGACGACGCCAGGGCGTACATCCGACCCCTTGGCAAGCAGCAAAGTGCTGCGCCTGCCACGAAATCTGCGCCGGTGCCCAGCCGACGCCAGACGACGCCAGGGCGTACATCCGACCCCTTGGCAAGCAGCAAAGTGCTGCGCCTGCCACGAAATCTGCGCCGGTGCCCAGCCGACGCCAAACGACGCCAGGGCGTACATCCGACCCCTTGGCATCCGACCCCTTGGCAAGCAGCGGGCGTGTTGGAGATGTTGTGTGAGTGATGTTGTGTGTGGGATGTTGTGTGAGTGATGTTGTGTGTGAGATGTTGTTGTGAGAGATGTTGTTGTGAGAGATGTTGTGTGTGGGATGTTGTGTGAGTGATGTTGTGTGTGGGATGTTGTGTGAGAGATGTTGTGTGAGTGATGTTGTTGTGAGAGATGTTGTGTGTGGGATGTTGTGTGAGAGATGTTGTAGAGAGGAGGAGGAAGGAGGAAGGAGGAGGAAGGAGGAAGGCGGAGGAGCGAGGAGGCGGAGGAGCGAGGAGGTGCAGCAAAAAAAACAAGAACCCCACACGACAATGTGGGGAACAAAACACACAAAAGCATCGCAAGAAGTGTTGCATCTGAACATGCAAAAGCAAACCCAAGCAAACCCAAGCAAACCCATGCAAGCTTGCGTCCAGCGATCGCATGGAAAGGACGGAACCTTTCGGCATGCCAAGCTGCAGTTCTTGAGGTCGGAGAAGTCGAAATCTTCCCTTGGATCCCACGACGCCAAAAGCGTCGAGGTGCAGGTCGCTGGCTGGACATGCGCACATGAAACAAAATGTCTGGAAGACCAACAAATACGCAAATACGTGTGCAACGTGATATATATACATACAGTAGTATAAAATGAAAAGGTAACCATGAACCAAGGAGAGCACGGGTTTCTACAGCGTTAAAGATACAGCGCCGCCAATCTTAATTGCAACGCAAGACCATCGTCCACGCGTGTCTTCTTTTGCCAAAAGGGATGGAACCTGCAACTGCCCTGAACTGCCCTGTCATGCAACATCAATCTCGCTCCGATGCAAGTCATGGCACTCCAACGAGTTGATGCGAGATGTCCGCTTCACAGGCATCTTGTACTTGCACGTATCTCCAATCGCCTCCTGGTTCTGTGGATTCTGTTTGACCTATGGGCCTATGGGTGCGTCAAAGCATCTTTCAACTGACAATGAGTTGAGAACGGCAAGTGGATACCCATATCTCAGGGATACGCCTCGCACAGAATCTACAAACAAGACTTTGTACAGTGCCTCAGGTGGATTGACTTTCTCTCATGCACTGCAATGCTTTCTTGAATGACCGAAGTACAGCGCAGCACTTACCCCGTTCGCCTCGAAAGACTTGGCCGTGAGCCTTTTGGTGCGTCTCAAAGGAGGCCTCATATGGGTCAGAGTTCACTCACTGCCAGAATGCAACCTCATATGGGCAAACAATCTCCTACCCAACACAAACATCAGATCCTTGAAGGTCAAATACATGATGTAGGAACATATAAGTCATATATACGAAGACATCTTGATATCTTGGTGCCAGGCCTGGCTTTCATCTTCCGTCCATGCGGTGCTTGTGGCTTGAGCTGACCACGGTATCTTGAGGCCTTGAGGTGTGGCAGACCGAAACAAAAAGTAGATTGCCAGGAGCTGTTCTTGCATTGCTAATAGCATCCTTGCTCTAGTGATGCCAGGAGCCCCTAGTAGCTTCTTGCTCCTAGTAGTAAGGCCAGGAGCGTCCTTGCTCCTATAATGTTTCACTGCAAAAAACTTTTGAGCACAGGACTTTGGTTTTGGTTTCTTGTCCGGTTTCGTTGGCGGCATTCGTCTGACTTATCCTGTTCGGGTCTGGTGTGCTCTTGCGTTGGCCGCTTTGGCCATGGTAAATGGGCCCGATACCCCGTCTGGCGGTTGACTCAGTGCAGAGGGCAACGGTGAAGTGGACACCCTCATTCTTTAACGAGTAGCGAGTTCGAGAGGCAGGCCAGTGTGCAGCAAAAATGAGCACGGTCTTGAAATCGCAGCCCAGGAACAGGAGACAAATCCTCTGCTTTCTGTGCCATGATCTTCAACACGTCGCAATTTTCAAGCAAGTCTTCAGAACTTGAGGTGCTTGGCAACTGGCTGTCGTCAGGGCTCTGTTGAGGGACATACTTCCTAGGCAAAGAAACGCAAAGAGGGTCACGAAAAGCAAAACTCTTGCTCCTGAAAAGGTGATGTGCCTCACCCCAACAAAACTATATAATACTATATATATGTACACAGTAAATATATATGTGACATTTATATACATGTGTCAAGAAATGTGTTGCTTCTAAAAAAGCTTGCAAGGCATATATAGTCTTGCTGCTTCACAGTCGATCCGCATCAAAGCAATGGTGTCCACTGTTTCAGCAAGCATGGCTGCCGAGATGGCAGTTGAGCAAATCCTTGTTTCAACCTGAAAGTCCTGACCGGTCTGAAAAGCTGCCAGGATTCTTCAGTACTGCCTGCAAATCTCGTAGCAAACCTGCAAAGCCCAAAAGTCAACAGTCTCAGTCTTTGGGCTTAGTCAGGCTTAACAGAAAAATGTTGGACGAGCGGAACAAAAATGTTCACCTGCCTGGGTGCTGGAGCAAATCCTCACTGATCAGGCTAATGGTCGTCTCTTCTCCATAAGCTTTGATCGTCATAGAGACCTCTCGTCGTGCCGATTCAAAGGAATTCTTGGCACTTGGCAAAGGAATTCCTCAATTTGGATGGGTGAAATACTGCTTGAGTTGGATGTCAGCTTCCAACTAAGGAATCGGTTGGATTTTTCACATGGACAAGCTGTTATGGTAATGATCTCCATGGCTTAACCTACCTAACCTACAGAAAAAAAAGAAGGCGCTACCCTCAATAGGCTCATACACTCAGATCCTACGCACGGTCAGGAAAGGCCAAAGCTGCCTGACGCTTCACCCCTTCCGAGTCGAAAGCACAAAACCCGCTTTGTTCTAGTTCCTAGTGCATCACTACTAGTAACAAGGTGCATCGCTACTAGTAGCAAGGATGCTATTAGTAACAAGGGCATTACTACTAACAAGAAGCTTTCTAGATCAGAAGACATGACAATGGGAGGACATGTTGTCTGTCCGATGCCATCCCTGCCATCCCTGCTGGCGCCCTCACACTGCCTGCATGGCCTCTTGTTGCAAATGTGCTTACAAAATAGAAATCAAGCTAGAGCCCAGACTCTTCCCTGCGGTCTCATGTCTTCAATGTCTTAACTGACCCTGAATGTGCGCATCACATGCCCAACTGACTGACGAACTGAAAGTCTGCAGCTGTGTCAGACGAGAGGCACCTAGTACCCAAATCCAGGGGCACTCTTGGATGAAGGCCGGGATCTTTCCCAAGGACAAGGCCTGCTGACAGGGATCTGCAAATCGCCGGAGCAAGCGACGTTTTCTTCTGATCCAAGCTCCAGAAACACAGCCAGCTTTGAGACGAACTGATGATAATGATTCGGATGACAGCAAAGGATACCGCTGATGCTCCAGTGTTGTGACCTGGTCGTTACCCTATGTGTTGTCCTTCTTACAGCCTGGAAGGTGCTTTCGGGAAAGCAGCGCAAGCGGAGGGTGTAGAGGAAGTCCACATCCTGCGCCCAAAAAAATCGCCATCACCAGAGTCCGCCGCATCTCTTAACCCTTCATGACCCTGCAACACCTTTGCCACAACTTCCATACCCCCTTTGGAGTCCGCCACAAGCCTTCGACCTGGAATGGGAAACTCCACCAGACTGTCCCAGACCATTGACCGTCCTCCATCTCGGTGACACTGTCCATGCTCTTTCGAGCACACCAGCCATGGAAAGGGTCAATCCTCAGTCACACAAATCAATTACTATCCACTCAGTCCACTCAGAAATAGCAGCCTACTACTTCTTGTGAAAGCCTTCGTTGTGGCCTACCTGTTGTGTTTCCAGAGATCCCAGAAAACTTGCCAAGTCTTTGTTTGATGCCTCCTACGCCCGCCTGCTCCGTCCTGAACCACTTCAGCTCCAAGAAATCCTCGTGCTCAGCTCCCAGCGGCTCTCCAGGGTTGGGTGTCACGATCTTGGAGGTGTCAGGAAATCCCCATGCGAGAGGGTGATACATCTGCACCTGGCAGCCAGAGAGTTGGCTCAAGTCAACGTTCTCACCAACATGGACCCAAACAGTCTTGCTATAATTATATATGTGCCTTCCCTTTCTTGAAGAATATGAGATGATGTAGCTTGCACACTTGTCATCTGACATCTCTTCCTTTCTACAACCTAAACAGGAAGTGATCATCAACCACATGCCAGATCGGCATCAACAAAATCTATTCGCTGGTAGTAAATGCTGTCTAATTCTCTTTGCAGCTCGAACCACAAAATTCCATTCGAGTCCTCGCAGGGAAAATGCTGAAGACATCGTTCAGATGCTCCAGCCATCGTTCGGATGCTCTCTGCAACGGGTCCTTGACATGCATTCGCAAGAACTGCTCTCGTTCCTGCGGGTGAATGCTGGTTGATCAAGACCTTTTTGAGAACCATAGAGTATCCAAGTATTGGTGAAGCACACTTCTTCTTGCCCAAAGAGTAAAGACTCAAGATCGATTTCAGCACAAATCGTATGGCTCGTGCATGAAAGTACATAATGATATCACTCGTGATATCCTGTAAGCCTTTTGTTCTTACACACCCTCGATCCGGTATAACTAACCACAGTGCATGGTTCCTCATCACTCATCAAGTAGAAAGTCTTGGCATATGCTTCATTGCACCGTTGACAAACAAATATGGAAAGCTGAAACGGTATGCTCATGCTCTCAATCAAGTGTGTTGCTTTCATGGTTTTTTGAAGCTCTGTTCGGCTGAATGTCAATGTACTGGAATGTGTTCAAAACCGTCCCGGCCGGGCGTGTACTGACCGGGAAATCGATGGATCGAAACTCGAAACGTGGATCAAACGTACAGACGCACTGGTTGCGGACAATGGCTGGAACGGAGGGGGGGCCTCTACAAATACATCGGCAGTCCTGCTTGTTGGTCAGGTAAGTCTTGCTGAAAATACATGCCTCAGTCAGAAGAGCAGTTTGACAGTTGCGCGCGGATATGACCAGAGCATAGTTGGGGCGTCCGCATTAGCACCAACTTTGAATGTCTCATTGACAATGTCATTGAAGCCTCGAAAGTGTGGCCGCCATGTCCAAAATTTGGCTGGTGAGAAGTCAGAATAAGGTCATGTGTTGGCAGGACAGTGCTCATCAAGTCTGAGAGTGACATTGCTTGTTGTCCTTCTTCAAATCATCAAAAAACCATCCTCCAAGCCCGGTTTGGAACCACACCAAAAGGCCCTGCCAGATGGCCAGCAGCCCACGGCCCCACCTGGTCTGAACATCTGCGACCACCTGGCCCCACTCTTGGCGGACTCCTCCAGGGCCATGCCTCGTCACGTCGGCTCCTAGTAGCGATGCCCTTTGTTCCTAGTAGCGATGCCAGGAGCCCCTAGTAGCTTCTTGTTACTAGCAGCGATGCCAGGAGCTGCGTCCTTGCTTCCAGTAGTAGGCTAGGAGCCCCTAGTAGCGTCGGAAGGAATGAGAAGGGCCATGCTTCGTCATGGCGGTGATGGCAGGTGACCCCCAACCTGGATCCAGGGACTCGAACGTCTGTTCACAGACTCGACTACAAGGGACTTAGGGGCTTTTTAAGGGGGGTTGGACCCAGAGCCATTGTTGGAGCAGGGGAAATTTGTGGTTCAATGAGTTTCCTCAGGTTCGTCGTCCCTTCTTCCTCTTCCCATGGCGGAGTCTCCCGTTTTATGACACACACGAGGTGGTGACAGCACCATCCATCCACGCTGCGGCACGCAACATGACCTAGACTACCTAGACTCCACCAAACCTTGTTCAACTATAATGTCCTTGCCGCCAAGCATGCTGGTCCACCTACCCTGGCCGAGCCAGGGTCTGTACCCACAATATGTCCGGTCGATTTGTCCTACACTCATGGTTGCACTTGTTTGCTGTGCCTTCCAAAGCATGTAGGAGTCTATGCATCTCAAATGGTGCCCTTGGAAGCAGGTGAGGGCTTTGGCTAAAGGCGGTGGTCGAGCTCACCGGAGCACCGCTGCTTTGCCAGTGTTGACTACCCAAAGGACTTGGACTTTGCTCTGGATCACAGCAGAGAAGCTGCTGCAGACTGCAGCTAGCAGCTAGCAGCTAGCTCTTCAGTACGACCTGGACAATCTGATCCTCGAGCCTATGTCAAGCCCGATACTGGCCCGGTTGTTAACGTGCGGACCGCAAATGAACTATGGCATCGAAATCCAGCAAAAGGAGATGCTGACCTGCGACACCTGACAGACACACGACAACGTCTTTCTGCTGAGCCCTCCAACGCAAATGGGGTGGCTCCATGCCATAGGACATCCGAATAGTGGCCGCGCGTACTCGCAAGTCCTTCAGCACTTCTGACTAGGCATGCAGAAATCCTATTGGAATGTCAAAATGTTCCTCAAACCACTGAACATGAACTTTTCAAGTTCAGGGCTCTAAAGAACATAAGAGAAAGAAACTCAGACACGCCACGGCTTCTTGTTCCATGTGTCACGGTCACCGTTAGTCACGACAGTTGGCCTCTGTGAAGAGCTGCTTGTGCAAACTTGGTACCTGCCGTTTCGGTGATCGATGATCTAGAGAAGTGCTCGGAGCACTTCCCTTTTCCCCACCAATAACCATGATTCAGGTCTGGCCTTGACATGCTTGTTGACAATGTCCTGCAGGCCTGAGACTCGTCTCAGATACTGCTGCCTGCCAGCAACAAGCATCCGACCGAGGGCCCTGTCCATTCGGTCTCCGGTTTCTTGCGGAGTGTCAGTGTCATTGTAGAAGCTCCATCTGTCCTAGCATCTCCCATGCCACACGTCCATTACTGGGCCACCCGACTGCAAATTCATCGGCAAGTTCCGCCGCACGTAATCGCGGTCCTTTTTCCAAACAAAGCTGAAAGCTGTAACGTTCACTGAGATGACATGCCATATGCCACATCCAGTATAGTAAGCTGCACAGCAACCTGATCCTAAATGGAAGTGGTACGAACTTTACAAATCTGACGCCCTGAGCTTTGGTACAAACCTGACCAGCGTAGCTTTGGAGGTTGCGTAGTTGTCAAGTACAACTTCTGGGACAGCAAAACGGCACGCATTCGACGCCTTCTTAATGCCGAGCTGGGTCTCTGGGGTCCTTAGCCACGGCAAAGGCCAGAAAGATGATTAGGATGGCTTCCAAGGGCCGGAAGGCTTGAAGTGAACCCAAAACAAATCGAAAAGTGAATTCCATTTGGACATTGGGATAAACCAGGCTTATCAGATTCATCCACTTTGTGGTCTGGTTGCTTTTCCATTGTTTGAGTGCTTTTCGAGAAGGGTGAACACCCGGTGACCTGCAAAATGGAGTATGGTCTTACATGCACAACGCATGAATCTGTGGTTGATGTAGCCACCTTTGCACATTTTCTGGAGAGGTTCTGCTGCCAAGGCGAGTTTAACACCATTGAAGTCACTGCAAAAGTTCGATCTTCTTGAAACGAGTCAGCTGCACTGCGAAATCACCTGGTTTGGTTTTGACATTAAAGTAGTTCGTTTGCATCATCACTGCATCCAGGCAGGAGGGTTCTCAAAGCACCTTGCCTGTGCTCGAAAAAAAACAGATTCCGGTGCAGGGGTTGCTTTTTGGTTTCAGAGTTGTCCTCCTTTCTTTAGAGTCAAACAGATAGTCCAAAGTCCATCCAAAATGCGCATGCCGCATGCACTTGTCCTCTGGCCACATGCATAGTTAAGATATCTTGGAATAGAGTACTAAAGAGATAGGACAGCAAGCCCGAACTTTTTCCACTGTTTCCACTTAAGTTAAACTGTCAGGAATTCCCCCACATGCGATCTTTTGCTCATTCTCAGCCCCCAGCGAGACACCTGAACTTGTGCCTCTTCCCATGGCATCCATGGCCGTCTGAAGTTTCGAGGTGCCAAGAAGTGACTCGAAGACTGGAATTTGGATCAAAAGCTACTAGAAGCAAGGACGCTACTAGGGGTACTAGGAGCAAGAAGCTATTAGGAGCAAGAAGCTACTAGCTATGGAGGCCATCGCTAATGAATAGTGTTCAAACAAGAATTCATTAAAGACTGTTCTTGTTCCCATCTTGTCTCATACTGATGGGAATCCAAAACAACCCA